GTGACCAATTCGCCATTGGTTGTGGCTTTTCATCTGATTGGCTGAAACGATGGCACGAGCTATCTAGACCAATCACGGAGCAAAGCAAAGCGCGCGTGTAATTCCTTTCATTGTGTTTTAACTGATGAATTTGAAGTTCAAGCCAGTCGCGGAGACAAGTTTATTACTTGTCTCGAGTAAGGGAAAATACGAGACAACGTTTCGCGCGAAAAATGGCATAAATAAGTGACCACTTTTCAGTTTGCAAAGCTCGCGAAAAACTGAGGTACGAGAAACAGATAATGTCCATGGACAAACATCCGAGCATATTTTCGTGCCAAATAGAGGCTTCTGGGTTTAGTATCCTTCAAAAATTTTGCAACAAGCAGGAAGAAATGTCTACGAACAGCTTACCCTTTGCTGTGTGGGATGTTTACTATTTAGTATTCTCTAACAGGAAGTTTTGAACGAGCAAACATTTCCCTTTTCTATAAAAACAGCTGAACACTCTCTCATCTTAAATTAAATTCTAAACAAAGACTTTAACCGTTTTGGAAGTAAATCACTGGGGTTTATCACCGAATATTCCCCAGTTTTAACTGAGGAATATTCGGCCACGTGATACGTTTGGACCAATCTCGCGCGAGCAAAATTATTTGATGGATTATTAGAAAGATAGATATAAAGATATAAAAGGATAGATATAAACCGACCCCTGCCCCAGGAGAAAGATCCGCCATCTGTCGTAGAACAATCTCTATCAGGACTTTCATGTCTAAAGCGTAAAAAAACTCTGAAGTGTCGCGAGATGAAAAGATGTCCGTAACAAACTTGAGCACTGCGTCAGGAGAACTACGAGGATACTGAAACAAGGCAGTGGGATCCTCTGTAAAACAAGAATAACAAGAATCATTGTCGTTTTTACGTTGGAGATGAAATAAGTAGCAATTAAGGCGTTGGTCTCAGTAGATTGGAGTAGTCCATAGTATAGCCTTGGTTGGGTCATCGAGTGGTGGTCTTGGCAGTTTAAGACACTCAGCTTTCACCGTGTGATTTGGGCCGTTTATAGGAGGAAAGTAATCCGCACCTTAGGCAAGCCGAAGACTACCTAACGCAAATTGGGCCATTTATACGAACACAGCTCAGATAAGCTGTGAAATGCTTCTGCAAATAGTTCGCGTCCTTTATTTAACACAGCATCGGGAAAACGCGCTGGTACGCATGCTTGTAACACGAGAGAAAGTTACGCGTGCAAGGGAATGGGAACAATAATATTTCCATAGTAACAATGTCGAAACAAAATGGGACATTTTTAAAATTCCTACCGCTTCGCAGCTAAGAACACTACTGAAACGAGTAGTTGTAAATGGGACCTGAAAAAAATTCAGGCCCGTACGGGATTTGAATCCCATGACCTCTGCGATACCGGTGCAGCGCTCTACCAATTGAGCTAACAAGCCAACTGGGAGCTGGTCAATGAATTGGGTCCAAATAAACATCCTAACTAACTAACAGGTCCTATTTACAACTACTCGTTTCAGTTGTGTTCTTAGCTGCGAGGATCTCTTAATTTCATCTCCCCACCGCAGTGCAAATATATGAATTTTCATATATCTAAAATCATCATTCCTACCGCTTGTTTTCATTTTACGGGGATAAGCCCAAACCAATACGGATAAGATTGCTGTTTTCAGGAAAGTGTCGGTCGAACTCCATCGTCACATGTATCACTTAACGAAAAAAGTATTGTGGTAACAGGTGTGCATTTAGTGACTGAAATTGAGCAGCCATAAAATGGATTCAGCGCTTCTTTTCATCGCTTTCTCAGTAGGCAAACCCACTGGAGATAAACAATGTAATTTGGTCTTATCAGCTGAGTTAATAACGTAAATTGGTTACCGTTAAGATTTTCAAAGCTAACGTTTCGAGCGTTGGCCCTTCGTCAGTGCGAAGTGAAGTATGAACAGGTACTAAAAGACTATCTAGCGTAGGTAGATTCGATGCAGAAGGTATGACTAACGCCGCAAAAAGTTGGCTCGGGGTAACATAATTCTCGAAATGTTTTCACTTATCCTTTCGCCATGATCGCACTAGGAGAAAGAACATTTTGAAGGAAGACTAATAATACATTCTGTTGCTACTTCTGACCAACCTTCTCTGTTGAGAAGTAACACGATCTTCTCGCTCAGTGTCTTTGCAGCGCTGCGGGATGCTAGTACCCTCATTACAATGTTACTCTGAATATCTGCAGGTGAGAAAAAAGCAACTAGCTCGCACTAAAAGAAAATACTTTGACTGAAAGAGTAGGAGTTATTCTTAGTCGGCTATTGTTCGTTTTCAGTCCGTAGAAAATCATTTGAATGTTCATAGCAGTTTTAAAGTTTGTTTTGTTTCGTTTTGATTTTTTGTTTGTTTGTTTTACACGCGTGTTTTCACCGTGGGGTCTTCTGGGCCTCGTTGTTCAAAGCAGTGTTAAGATAACTCAGGGTTAGTATGAAATGTAGTTTAAGATCTGAAGGCTTTAAAAGAAAATTCAGTATAATTATTTTTGTCTACAATTTGATGACTGGTTGCTCTTCAAAGAAGAGAGAAAATTATCCAGGAAAGACTTTAAAACAAAAGGATAAAGAAACCTGGATTAAATTTTAACCCTGGGTTAGCGCTACTCAG